CTCCATTTAATAGTGACATTTTTCTTTCAAACCCGTCACCAGCAATTATTTCTTATGTTTTTAATTACTTGAAACAAACCAACTTAAGCATTGATATCCACCTTTGACTCTCCTGCTTCTACTTCAACATAAATTGCTCTACTCATGTTCCAACTTTGGAAATACTTATACCATATAACACTTACCGGATCATGGCGAGATATACAGGGATATACCCAGTATAACGCCAACGCATGCGCTCTTACGGCGCATGAACCAAATCTACTTCGTCGCTCTTTTTTGAGAGTGCCTAGCGAGCTGTGATACCGTACGCATCGTGTGTTGTGAAAAAACGAAAATTCATGCTACTCGTCGGTTTTTAAAGGCCTAAGCAGAATAGATTCTTGAACGGGAACGTAAACGGAAACGTAAGAATGTGTAAGAGAAGGATAGCAAATATCTTTATTCTTCTCTCACCCATTCTTACGTTTCCGTTCACGATTGCGTTCCCGTTCAAGAATCTATTCTGCTTAGGCCTTAACAGTGTACATTTTGCGATATCTGTTCTCGGACAAAAACAGTTTGTTGTCGTGAAGTGGCCTTTAAATTCTTGTGCTTCTGGCACGATCTACAGCCTTCCTACAGTGTGCCTTTCTGGCTGACCGGCCGGCGTGACCATCTTTTCTGTATATAAGTAGTCTTTTTTTCTCTTCTTTTCTTTCACTGTCCTGTCTTGGCATAAAAGTCTATTAACCGGAGGTTCCACCTCCGGTTCTTCAAGCATGGAGACCGACTCTGAGAATGGGTTCACTGACCCTCTCTCACGTTCCCAATTGGAAATTGATTCCGCAAACAATTTGTTGCTCTTAAAGCAAATCTCCTCCAGTCACGATGACTTGTCAAATTTAGCTGCAAAAAAGCCGTGCTATGGTGACCATAAAAAATCAAACAAAGACTTTTCTCCATCATTTCAACAGTTAACAAACCAATCAAACTCGAACACCAACAACAACAACTCTACTTTCAAACTTACTTATGACAACGCTTTAAAATCAAATTGCACGATATTTATACAACGCGATCCTAAATCAACCGAGTTCAAAAAAGATCTCGGCCCTATGTCTGTCGGTCGTTTCTTACACCCACTATTCCCTAACCAAATAGTAGAAATCAATCAAAGCGGACGCGGTAAGGTAAGGGTTATCGTTAAATCCGGCCAAGCTGCAAATGCGATTCTTAATCACTCGGAATTAAAATCTATAGGTTTGATTGCCGTCATCACTGGAAGCTTCCTTACTTGTCAGGAAATCATGAACAACGTCGATACTGGCATTACAATCGATGAAATTATCGCACATGGTGTGGTTATGGGTCCTCACGTCAATAAAATTAAAATTCTCCAGGTACGACGCTTTAACCGAAAAACCTACGATGAAACAACAAAAGAGGTTAAATATGTTCCATCCAAAACGGTTCTTCTCACCTTTGAAGGCACAATCCTCCCTCAGAGAGTAGCAGTTTACAAAGGTTCCAGTCCTATTCGACCCTACTTTCCTGATCTGCGTATGTGTTTGAATTGCCTACGTTTTGGTCACATCGCCAAACACTGTCGTTCAAATCTGCGCTGTAAATCCTGCGGTGAAAACGTGTCTCATGATTCGACTAATCCTTGTCCCCTCATTGCATCAAACACGCCCAAGTGCGCTAACTGCTCCGGCTCTCACTTAACTACGTCGAAAGATTGTCCGGAATTTGAATTTCAGAAAAAAGTTCACATTTATGCCACAATGCACAAACTATCATTTGCTGAAGCAAAAGCTGTTCTTCGCTCCAAGAAATCGGCTATTGAACCGAACTCCTTCAACTTCTCCGACTTTCCTTAACTGGGTGGAACTCCAGCTCCTTCTTTCACAAATCACAACTCCTCTCAACGACTTTTTTCAGACATCACAAGTCTTTCTTCTCGTCAACAGAAAAATTCGAGGGGAACCAACAACAACCCCCCAATTCCAACTCCATCTCAACCGCGTAAAAGAACCAATTCTTTTTGTGCCACTCAATGGAACAATGGAAGAAGCAATTCCGATATTCCTAATGGCTTCGCGCTATCCTCTACTTCATTCCAATCTCATCTTCCACTTCCATCACCTGACGTGAACTCTTGTCCCCGTCCTCACAACATTGAATCTCTTTCTTTTTTTACTTTTCTTTACAAGAACTCCAAATAGTGATCAGCTCCTTTAAAACTAAATCCTCTCCAGGCCTTGATAAAATAGATTACCAAATTATTCAACACTTCCCAACCGAAATCTTAACAACTCTTTTATCAATCATTAATAGAATAATTTCCAGCGGTAACTTTCCCCCTTCTTGGAATAACTTTCTTATCTTTTTCCTTCCAAAATCCTCACCTGGCAAATTCCGCCCCATCTCTTTGGCTTCCTGCCTTTTTAAAATGGTTGAAAAACTTATATACAACAGAATGATTTGGCTTGTGGAACGTGATAAAATACTTAGCCCATACCAATTCGGCTTTAGAAAAGGCAGGTCCTGTTCGGACAATCTCGCCTTAATATCAACAGAGATTTGGACGAGCTTAGCCCAACGTGAATTCACTAATGCTCTGTTTCTAGACATAAAAGGTGCTTTCCCAAGCGTAGTCCCGAATATTTTAGCCGAAGACCTTAGATCATTAGGAATCTCTGAATCAATAGCCCGATTCATTTACAACTCAATTAAATGTAAAAACATATTTATCAATATAAATGGCGAAATTATAGGTCCAAGAACCAGTACGGTTGGTCTTCCTCAAGGCAGCATTCTCAGCCCGTTAAACTACGCAATTTACAATAGAAACCTCAACTCTGTTATTCCTGCAGACTGCGAAATTTACGAATTCGCGGATGATATTTCAGTTACTTGTCGTTCCTCTAATTTATTTCAAGTTATCAACTCTCTTCAAACTAGCCTTAACGGTCTGTCCGAATTTTTATCTAATAGAGGTTTAGAAATCTGCCCCGTTAAAACCAAATTTGTCATTTTTAATAATAAAAAACTCATTACAGACGATCCCGATTTATTTTTATATTTAAATGAATTCACTATTAAACCTTCCCCTTCAGTAAAATACCTCGGTGTTCACTTTCAGGAATCATCTTCATCTGATACTCACTTTAATTACTTGTGTGACAAAGCCAGAAAAATTTTAAACATTCTTAAAGTCCTTAGGGGTACGTGGTGGGGAGCAGACCCTCAACTGCTTCTTCACATTTACGACTCACTTTTTAGAAGTCTTGCCGATTTTGGCTCTCTTGCCCATAACTTTAAATCTCACAAAAATTTCTCCCGTCTAGAAAAACTCCGTAATCAGGCATTGAGATTAGCCGTAGGTTACAGACAAAGCACACCCTGTTGAAAATTCCTATGTGAGAACACATATGGGATCCCATCCAGGATCTCTTGTGAGTTCTTATGTGGGTTCCCGTACAGGTTCACACATAAGATCCTGTATGAAAAGGTTCCTGGGATGAACTTGCGTGAGATCAAGCGCACGATCTTATGTCTCTGTAAAAGCAATAACACAGGATCCCATGAGGTTTCCTGTGTAGGTTCCTATATGAACAACACGATAAATAGGAACACACATGGGATCTTATCCGAGATCTTGTATGAGTTCTTACATAGGTTCTCACATATAAGAAGATTAATAGCAGCTTAATAAGATTTTATAGAATGCTTTTATATATATGCTATTAATCTTCTTATATGTGAGAACCTATGTAAGAACTCATACAAGATCTCGGATAAGATCCCATGTGTGTTCCTATTTATCGTGTTGTTCATATAGGAACCTACACAGGAAACCTCATGGGATCCTGTGTTATTGCTTTTACAGAGACATAAGATCGTGCGCTTGATCTCACGCAAGTTCATCCCAGGAACCTTTTCATACAGGATCTTATGTGTGAACCTGTATGGGAACCCACATAAGAACTCACAAGAGATCCTGGATGGGATCCCATATGTGTTCTCACATAGGAATTTTCAACAGGGCACCCATTAACGTAATGTTGGCTGAATGCTGCGAACCCCCCTTGAGATCAAGATTCAATTTCCTTTCTAAAAAATATCTATTCAGAGTCTATTCCAATTCTTCTCACCCTCTTCCAGCTAAACTTTCAGAACTTTCTCGTCTTACAAATAATTCTAATACCAAATTTAACTACCCCCTCTTAATTGCATTCGAAAAAACGAAAACATACAGCGAATTAATAAGGAGTAGGGATCTTGATCCTTACTTCGAATTCCTTTACGAAGATCACTTATTCACTCCCCATATTATTACTACTTGGGGCAAATCACTCCAAGACACACCAAATGCTTCAATTCTTTTTAATGATCTAATTAATTCTAACTTCCCCAATCACACTCTATTTTTCACCGACGGCTCTAAATCAGAAAAAGATCATTTGGCTGGTTGCGCTCTAATCTGCCCGTCCTTAAACCTAACCTCTAAATTCAAAATTTCAAATCATGCTTCAGTTTTTTCTCTAGAAGCATTCGCAATTTTATTCACTTTAGATTACATTATTAACTCTAACCTTTCTAACACCATTATTTGCACAGATTCTCTTAGTGTTCTCAATAATTTAAAATCGACAAGTATTTACAAAATCAAATCTTACAAAATATTTACTATTAGAAACCGTTTGAAAATTCTTTCTGATCTAAAACGTCCTACAACCCTAGTATGGATCCCCGGTCACGCGGGAATCGAAGGTAACGAGGAGGCAGATAAAGCAGCTAGAGAATTATCAACTAATCCCGCCGAAGTTAACATTCCACTAGCATTTTCTGACTTCTTTTATATAGCGCGTAAACAATTATCTGATAGTTGTACTTTAAGCTGCTTCTACAATAGGTACAATTTGTGTTGCACAAGTGCAAATAAATTGTACTTGGTTGCGCGCGCATCGTAGTAACAACTGTCGCGAGTTACAGCAAGAAATGGTTGTCTCCAGTTTGGATTAAAATGTGCAGAGTGTGTTGATTGGAAACCAAACCATTGGAGTTGTATTTATTTTTTAAAATTTTTTAACGACATGGATGACATTAACCTTTTTTTAATTAAATTGATTAAAAAAGAACCTGTCATTTTTGACAAATCGTCGAATTATTATAAAGATGTCACAAGGAAGAGAGAAGCTTGGGAGAGGATAGTGAAGCAGTTCAATGACAATACTGGGTGCAATGTTACAGGTAATTATGTTTACCCATAATGCATAATTTTAATATATATACTGTTGTAAACAGTTTTTTTAGTCTTCTTAAACCACTTTGTTTTTTAAGACTTATATGTTACGCTTCGCGAAGAAAATAACCTAAGTAAATTATTTGAAGGTTATGTTTGTGTCAGTTTAAAATTGATTAAATTTATTTGATATCGCTCATTTCTCCACTGATAATTTGGCCAGTAGAGGAATGAACTCATTCCTCCACTGGCTAAACCACCACCAGTGCCTAGTGTACAATAATACTATTTCACCGAAGGCGTTATACAAAATATTTTATAGCGCTTTTCTTGAAAACACATTTTTTCAAAGATATATTTCATCCTTTTTATAATTTTTAATATGTGTCCTTTTTTTAATGCAGTGAAGCAAGCACAAGGAAGGTGTCGAATTTTGAAGGAAAATTATTCAAAAGAAAGAGCTGCGTTCAAGCAGCATACTCCATCAGGATCCGCTGCACAACGCGGACCAGAATGGATATATTTAAATGATATGTCCTTTATGGAGCCTATAGCTGAGCACATGTTGTAAGGATATAATAATAGAATTCATTATTATATTAATGTTTATAATAATAATAATAATAATAATAATAATTGTCTTTCAGCACTGTCGAATCCTTTGGCGGAGCGTACTCTGCAGTAGAGGAAGAACGAGAAGAAGAAGAAGAAGAAGAAGAAGAGATGGAAGAAGAAGAAGACGAAACAGAGAACGAAGGTGGAAATATATTTTTTTATTTAATACAGGCCTCTGATTATACGTTTTTTTCGACTTTATAATACTTCTTTCAATGAATGCGACTTTTCTAGACTTTAATAAATCCAGATTAAATTAAGTACAATTTTGGTAGTGGGTTCAAAAAGAACCACAATCTCTGTGAACCGACTTTTGAGATTATACTTCTTAAGAATAGGAAAAGAAATATAAGAATAAGAACTTCCTTACAGGAACTTCCTTACAAGAAATCAAGAAATTTTTGTTTTTTAAAAAAAATATTTAAATTATGTATTTCTGAAACCCCCTCTGTTTTTCACAATTTTTGATAAACCCTGGCGGATTGGGTAAACCGAGTTGTAACCGAATTGGGTTACGATTCGGTTACGTTTCGGTTCCTTGTAAAATATTGTCGTTAATCGACGTAATATGTTGTAAATAACTATTAGGAATGGTTAATAGACATTTAGAGTGCTTATTTATGCAATAATAAGAATAAATTAAGATATAATTACTTCATAATAAGTGTTTTAAGTGTACAGTGCATACCATCAGTGGCAGCTGAGATACGCGCGTTAAACACTAGATGGCGTTGAAGATTACTTTGTGAATGAATTTCTAAAATTAAACCCTTGAGTTTCAAATGTGTAAGTGAATATAAGTTTTAAAAAAATAGATCGATATATTAAAACAACTTTTTTCATTTGTACAAATAAAAAAAAAATTTTATTAGGAAAAAAAATTTTTTTAATGAAAAAAATTTTTTTTTCTGTCAAAATTAATCTTTCTCCTTTCATTGAGAAAAGAAATTTTTTTATTCAGAAAAAATTTTTTTTTTCAAAATTAATATTTTGGAACATGTGTTCCTTCTGCTCAAGATTTTTCTGCAGCCAGCAGTGAATTTTCGCGGGAAAGAATACGAAGAGAGAAAGCAATTGTTATACTGGACAGTTGGTCGCGTGTCCCGGAAAGAAACAGGTTTGCCTGATACCAAGATTTGACATCGTTAATAAAGAAAAGCAATAACGAAGATAAATAAAATGTAGTTATTTTATGTATAATTTTTTTAAAAATTTATGTAAAGCAGTTTGTCACATCTGTAACATTTTGATTCTGAAACAATATTGTTCAAGTATCTATTACTAGTATTCATTTTCCTTGGAGTTCGTGGTTTTTGCTTCTGTAATTTTTATAATAAATACTTTTTTAAAAAAAAATACTTATCTACTATTTCTTTTCTTGTAATAATATATGAATAGGAGACTAAAATAAAAGATTTACTCTTAATATTAGAAAATAAAGAAAATTAATTTCTTAGAAAGAGCAATAAATTTTTTTTATTGTTATTGAATTTAAAAATTTATTTGTCTACAGAAAATACATTATAATTTAGGTTTTTAAAATAAAAAAAAAAATTTTAAGTAAAATCAATTTTCAAGTAGTCGACAGTTTTTAATTTTTAAAAAATCTTCTCTCTTATGTCCAAATGACCCCGGTGTGTAGAATTTTTAATGCCAGAGAGATGTGGCAAATGAGGGTTACATTGTTACAGAAATGCAGGTAAATTTAATTTAAAAACTATATTTCTCAATTAAATAAGAGGAACTTTAGCTTCTACTACACTAACTTACACAGATTCCGCTGTAAATATTAATTATTAGTATATTTAGGGTGGCCACCTAAATTTGTGAATGAAATTCATGGCTTTTTCACGGTTATTTCCCTGTTTAAAAAAAAATTTTCAAGGATTTAGAAATTGAGATTTCATTACAAAATACAGACTTTTCAATTACTAAGTATTACAAAATAATCATTTTATTTTCATTTGTCAAAACTTTTATTTATTATAATTTTAATAAGCACTGTATTTAATTTATAGAAAGAATTTAAATTACAATTGACTACAATGACTTCATTGACTTCAATGAATTTCATATTTAGTCGATCTTAGTTTTAATGTATTCAAAATTTAATCGATTTACTTACCCTTTAATCCAAACTTTTATTTGATTCCACTTTTCATTACATTTTATTAGTGAACATTCAAATTTTAATTGTTTCTTCTACACTTCATTTATCGCCTAATTCAATTTTCGATTTTTAAGATTTCCTTTTTTTCGATAATCAGTTAAAAAATTCGTTTTTATAAATTCTTAGTCAAGTAATTGTCATTTTTTAAAGAACGTTTTACTTCAAGGTAGACTGAGGTTTCGAAGTGACAAACTTTTTTACTTTTTTTTATACTTTTTTCGACAGGGCTACTTTTTAACTACTAATTTCGGCAAAAGCTAGTAAATGCTACTTTTTCAAAAAAGTAATTTTAAAAAAATGACAGAATTTTAGTTTTTAGCGACTTTTTTGATTCCTAAAAGCTGGACTAGTTCGAGAATTTTTTCTTACAATTCTTTCAGAATTGAACTGATACAAATTTTTAAGAATTCAATTTTGCATTGGACAAAATAAAACAAAAAAATTCAAATGACTTTTTATAAAAAAATTTTCAAAGTCTGATTTAAGCAAATTATTCGAATTCAGCAGTTTAGTGAATGTTTTAAATAATTAAATTTTCAAAGAATTTAATTGAAATATTATTGAAAAAAATTAATTTTGTACAATGTTTAGAAGTAATTGAACATTTTTGCAAATTTTTAATTATAATTGTTGTAAATTTGAATTGCTGAAAATTATTCAAATAATTTCAAATAGTAATTGATTTTTAGAGAATTTTTGATTAAAAAATATTGCAAATAATTCAATTTTAAAAAAATTGGATTCAAATTATTGAAATAATTAATATAGCAAAGAATTTTAATGAAGACACAAATTTTAGAAATAATTAAAATTTTAGATGTCGTGCAATAGAAGTTTTAATAAATTTCAATTAATGAAGACTTTTTAAGAAGTTCAGATAATAATTGAATTTTAAAGAATTTCAATTGAAAAATGTTTTAAAAATTGAATTTATGAAGATTTTTGAAATTACACATCCCCACAAAAAAAAAAGGGTCATGTACTTTTGACCGGAATACCCTAACCCTATGTATTTTGACGCGCTGAACACGAATCCGAAGTCCGTTTTGCTCCATCACGTCAGGATTTTTTTCTAACCTCAAAAAACATGTCGGATTTTGAGAAGTAGGCGATTTTTTTAAAAATTGCTGTATTAATTTCAAACTTGGTATCTGGGGGTTTTTTGTGTCGCTGATTACGAATCTGAAGTTAGATTTTCAAAATCCAAAATGGCGGATCCAATATGGAGGACGAATTTTGAAAAAATTTTAAGATTTACTTCAAACTTGGTATCTGGGGGTTTTTTGGGTCGCTGATTACGAATATGATGTCAGATTTGAAAAATTCAAAATGGCATATCCAACATGGACTTCTATCGGAAATATTAGATACGCCATTATCTGTATCTGGGGGTTTTTTGGGTCGCTGATTACGAATATGATGTCAGTTTTCAAAAATTCAAAATGGCATATCCAACATGGACTTCTATCGGCCATACTAGATACGCCATTATCAATTTTTGAAAACTGACATTATATTCGTAATCAGCGACTCAAAAAACCCCCAGATACACTATTGCACATTAATTTTTAAAAAATTTCGTAAAATAATGTCCCCCTACCAAAAAAAAATTCAAGGGGTAGTTCCCCCCATAAATCAGCTTTTGGGGAAAAACAAAACATACGTGTCAAATTGTTTTTAAAAAACTACAAAACTGCCAAGTTTCAGAAAAATCGTCGTATGGCACTTCCCTAGTGTTACTTGTCAGCAACTTAGAAAACCTGTAGATACCAAATTTCATAATAATCTGACAATTTTTTAAAAATAATTTCTTAATATTGAATCAGACATGTCGAATTTCGGAAATCTGACATCAGATTCGTAATCAGCGACCCAAAAAACCCCTTGATACCAAGTTTGAAGTAAATCTTAAAATTTTTTCAAAATTCGTCCGCCATATTGGATCCGCCATTTTGGATTTTGAAAATCTAACTTCAGATTCGTAATCAGCGACACAAAAAACCCCCAGATACCAAGTTTGAAATTAATACAGCAATTTTTAAAAAAATCGCCTACTTCTCAAAATCCGACATGTTTTTTGAGGTTAGAAAAAAATCCTGACGTGATGGAGCAAAACGGACTTCGGATTTGTGTTCAGCGCGTCAAAATACATAGGGTTAGGGTATTCCGGTCAAAAGTACATGACACTTTTTTTTTTTTGTGGGGCTGTGTTATTAATTAAATTTTTTGTACATTTAAATTGCTGAAGATATTTTATAAAATTCAAACAATAATTGAATTTTAGAGTATTTTGAATTGAAAAATGTTTTAAATAATTGAAATGCCAAGATATTGACTAAAATTAGAATTGCTGAAAATTATTAACAAAATTTCAAACGGTAATTGAATTTTAGAGAAATTTTAATTAAAAATTGTTTTATGTAATTGGATTTTTGGATAATTGCATAAAATTGATTGAAATTATTAATTTAGCAAAGAATTTTAGACACAAATTTTAGAAATAATTCAATTTTGGAAGAGTTTGAGATAAGATTTTTAGAAATGTGTAATTGAATTTTTGGAGGTTTTCACTTAAAATTGTTGTTTTAAAATGCTAAATATTTTATATAAGATTCCGTTTACAGGTTGTAGGATTTAAACATTCGGATTACTTAAAATTTTAGTGAATGAGAATTCTAATAAATTAAAAATTTGTTAAATTAAAATTTTTTTAAAGAAACAGTTGGGTAAAAAAAGTTTTGTAAAATAAAAATTCGGTACTTTGAAAATTCCGTTGAGTAAACATTCGTTTACAAACAAAATTCTGTGTTAAATGCTATTTTGTGAAATAAAAATTTATGTGAAATATAATTTTCATGGAATAATGATGTGCTCTTACCTCTGAACCAAAAAAAAGACAAAAGAAAAAGTTAACGGAAATTTAACAATTGATAGTTTTTTAAAAATTATCAGGAGAAAAATGATGTTGATTTTATTCCTCAGAATTTTTCTTTAAATTTTTTTAGACAAGAAAATATTTACAATTTAACGTCAAATTTAAAAAACTAATTTTAGGTAATTTTAAAGATGACCCTTTTTTTAATCTTTTTTTCAATTTTGGGGATACTTTTCTTTAAATGATACTTTTTCATACTTTTTTTGTCTCTAACTAAGCCTGTAGACTTCAAATTTGGCACATTTCGTCATCTTTAAATTTTAAACAAATTACATTGTCAATTTTGAAAAGTAAGATTTTCAAAAAATTCATGGTTGCATTAAAGAAATAAAGACGCAATCGCGGTACTTTCCAGGCATAACTAAATTCACGTTGTTGTTCCTGTTTTCTAGTTCAAGACAAGTAGGCAAAGATTTAATTGACTTTTGTAATAAATACATTTTCTTTTAACGCAAATGTAATTACCATGGACACAAGAAGTAACACAAGATTTCTACTGAAGAAAAAAAATTTACTTTCTATTTCAGTACATTTTACTATATTTAGTGATATAAACTTAAGTTAAGTTTTTAAACTGTTATATATAAATATATAAATATATATATAATTACAACAGAACACAACGACGTACTATATATCTCTTTCTTAAAACATACAAACATATTGAATATATGAAAGTAAATGAAGAAAACACGTATAAAAATTCGCCTACTACTTTCTGAGTTACAGAATCACCATTACAGTAGCAAGTGTGGAAATAAAAAAAATGAACACAAGAAAATAGCGGGTATATTCGAAAATAAGAAAGTTACAGATCAAAATGTGCAAAAGGATATTTCCTGAGTAGGAGACATCGTCCGTGATGAAATGCACTGACGGTGGTTGAAAGTAAGAAATTAAAGAAATGATCAGAGGGAAATATGTTTTACACTTATTGACGTTTACTTATAATGTCCAAGGCAGCGATGAACAACTCATCTTGCTTTTCATCACTCAATAAATCCCACTTATGGATAAATAAATTAAAAAGAGGATCGGCTCTAACTTCAGACTTTTCTCTCTCTTTCTCCCTATCCCTATGCAACTGATTTTGCAAAACTTGCTGTTGCACAGACATGCAC